CATGTCCCGGCTCACAATAGGCTCTCCTAGCCCGCCGCACTGAAATAAAAGGCGAGGAACTGGTTGTGGAATCACACGGAGACACCATCACTCGCAAGACACAACAACCAATCATAACACAGTTCTTGGACAACCAATCCAATCAGATCTACCAAAAAATCACGGTCATCCCACTGAAACACGACATCTCGATGTACAGTGGAGGTATCACACTTTTCTCCGGTGGCGGTAGTCACCCGCAACGGTGGAGAAAACACAGCAATGGGCAACTCAAGCCCCACAGTAATCGGGGTTGCAATAGAAGAATGCGTAGCCCCGGAATCAAACAAAACATCAACATCAGATCCACCAATGGAAACAATACCTCTAACAAGGTTCAGAGCTCTTTCCGACTACTGCCGATCCGAGGTGTAAACACGACCAAAGGCAGGTGGCACAACAGGTGCCGCTGAAAGTGGAGCCGAAATCATCTGAAGAGGGGTCGCCTGAATTGTTGCAGCCCTAGCAACTGAAGCATAACAGTCCTTGGCCATATGGCCACTCTTTCCACACTTGAAACAAAGCAGCTCTCTAGTAGCACAACATCCAACATGCTCCTTTCCGCATCCCGCACACCTAGGGGTGGAATAAGGTCTAGCAAAACCTCCCTGCTGCGAAGTAGTCCTCACGAACTGACTAGGCGCTTGCCTAGCGGCCAACTGCTTCCCTTTTCCCTTTCTAGCAAACTTTCTGTCTTCCCAGGAAGTGCAACTACTCGTTCCCTTCGTCTCAGCAATCTTGGCCTTACTCGTAATGCAGACATCTTCAATGTCCCGACACTGCTGCACCAGTGTCTCAAAGTCTCTGGATGTAGCTCCAGCAATGTGTTCAACAATCTCCTCATTAAGTCCCCTGCGGAACTTAGAGGCCAACATAGTAGGAGTAGGCATCGCAATCCTGAAGTGCGCAAACTTCACCAGCTCATTAAACTTAGCCAGGTACTTGTCATCAGACAACGAGCCCTGCACCAATTTGTCAAACTCTCCCTGCTTTCGCTCCTGCGCGTCATAAGGAAAATATCTCCCAAGGAAGCAATCCTCGAAGAATGGCCATGTCATCACCTGACCCTGCATCTCGTAAGCCTGAGAGGTGTTCGTCCACCACTCATGTGCGTCTCCCTCCAGCATGTAAGTCGCAAACATCAACTTTTGCGGATTAGTGCACTGCATAACTCTGAAGATCTTATCCAATGCCTGAAGCCATCTTGTAGCCGCAATAGGATAATACAATCCATCATAGGAAGGTGGCTTATGCTTATGGAAAGCATTTAGCCGGCGGTCGATTACATCACGGTCCTCAGTTGGCTCGTGATAGGGTTCCATCACCCCAGTAAGATGACCAGTGCCCACAGCGTGGCTCTGGCCCTCCTCCTGCAGACTAGGTGGAGGTGGAGGCGGTGGAGGTGGTGGCGGAGGGAACTGACCAACAGCAGGACCGGCCCTCATCTCCTCTAGAATGACCCTCATCATGGTCATGTTTGCCATCCTGTTCGCCTCGAGGACATCCTTAGTGGTCCTCCGGTTTGCCTCTCGAACATCTTCTGCAGCCTTCCGGTTCGCCTCACGAATGGCGTCCATCATTGCCAAGTTGGCCAATCTAGTGGCCTCCTAATCGGCTAATCTAGCCGCCTGTATCTCAGCCAATGCAACCAGGATAGGATCGGGTTGATCCTCAGCAGTCTCGCGGGTTCTCCTGGACCCTACCATGACTCTGCACAAGTTACACAAATTATGAGTTGATCAGGCCCACGCAATGTGATAACATATGCATCATCATAATACAGCCCAACGGAGTAAACACACAAGACAAGACACAACAAAGCATCCTAGTTATTGCAATGCATATAGGCTTTTCCCTAGAACCTTTGCTCTGATACCATAAAATGTAACACCTCGCGCATACCCGGTTTGTTAACATGTCATCGTATTAAGCTACGCTTAATTTAAAAATGTGGAATATCTTTTTCTTTTCAATTATGACGTCATTATCATTACCCATTTGCTTACTTAATTATTTTCCAAAACATCGCCTGTATGTAATTGCAAATAGACAGCTAACTGAAATACCTTAATATATAAATAACATAAATGTGTCTCTAGTCCCGGAACTACAACACGTAGACCGAACAAACACTGATAGTTTATAAAACTCAAACTAAGAGTACTAACATCAATATGGCATGGACAAACCCCATGCTAAGCAAATAAGGCAACAAAGCCCAACATAGTCTCAACTCAACAACAACGTAAGGAATAAAGGCTAAATAGCAATCCATACACATAAGCGGGAAGACATAAATAGCAGTCAACTAAGCTCCGGTCTCCTGCCGCTAGAGGCGTCAACCCCCACATTACCTGAACCTGAAATGTGCCCCAAACGTGGGGTGAGATCTCTAAAAAGAAATCTCTGTAAGACAAGGGGTGCTCAATGACTCTTCTGCCCCAAGCTCACTTACAGGCATAATATAAGTTCAAAACAGTAATTGCAATGCATGTTCATGTTAAGCATATAAATCATGACAGTATAATCTCTTGCTCAATGAGCTAAACATTTAACTCAGTAATCATGTAATGTATGTAAATGCGGTTCGACTGGCCAGGGAACAGGATAGAGATTATGCACGTCTGCGACCCATCTAACATAAGAGTCGTAGTCTTATGCCTTACACACCAGAGTCGCTGTCTGATTGTATAAGTAACAACATCACTTTCATGCACTACATGCTTTACACACCAGAGTCGCTGTCTGATTGTGTAAGTAACGACATCATATTCACACACTACATGCCTTACACATCAGAGTCGTTGTCTGATTGTGTAAGTAACAACATCATATTCACATATTTTAGGCATATATCATGCATATAACATTTTCATAAAAGCAGCCCATGCATATAAACCACCCTCCCATGGAGGTCGAGGGAAGAAACAACAGACTAATCCAAGGACACGAAAGCTTACCTTGCAAGCTAACAATCCAAACCAAGAGTCCACACGAGCTCAAGGGCCATAAACATCACAATCACAATCTGTTTATACAATAATTAATCATCAATAAACATTGCTCACTATAAGTGATTAAGGCTTTCTAACTCATTTTAAGTCATTTCATGTTGTTTCTGCAGGAGGTATTCGAATACTCCACGAGTAGTATTCGAATACTCCAGCTCTTTAGAAAGTATTCGAATACTACCAAGTATCCAAATACTTTTTCCCCCAGTATCCGTATACCACAGTATCCGAATACCAAACCTCACTATATTCGAATACTTTCCACTATTCGAATACTTCTTCAAAGGTATCCGAATACTTTTCTTCCTAGAAAAGTATTCCAATACTCCTGCAAGGAGTATTCAACTACCATTTAAACTACAATTGCAACTCTTTACCAAATACTCTAAGATTTTAATATGTTAAACTAGACATCTCAAGCTTTCCAACGATATATTTTACGCCTCAATCGGAGTTGTATAACTCCGGTTATGATTTTTGCAAAGTTCCTACAATAACTAAATTTCCAGCAAAAAGGTCGCAACTTCAATCAGAGTTGTAGCCCTATGTGTTAGCTTCACATAGGTCCAAACCTCACTCAATTTAGAGCTCTGTAGCTCAAGATATCGCAATATTACTAAACTAGGTCGCTGCTGTCTCGCGAAGTATTCGATTACTGCCTTTTTCCAGGATGTATTCGAATACTGCCCGAAAAGTATTCTAATACTTCTTCGACAGAATGCAAAAAACTGAGTTTTAAAGGTATAATTAACCTCCAATGATCCAAACTCGATCTGGAGTCCAAGAACTCCTTAAACAGATGTTTATTAACATGCTAAGGACTCAGAAACACATTCCTTTATTCAAACGGTTAAAGTTCCTCTTTTTAATGGATTAAACAAGCTAAAATTCTTCAAAATGACAAAGTGTGACCAAGGTATACCTTCCAAGGCTTAAAACTCCGAAAATGAAGTGGCTTGGAGCTCCAAAGTTCTGTCCTTAAAGGTGCACGAAAATGGATAACAAGGTTACACCTTTCCCCTTCAAAATGGCTTCTTGAAGCTTTCAAGGTCAAGGAAAAGACTTTCACCACAAGAACACACCAACTCATAATATACAGCCCCTCAAAACCTCACAACTCAGAATCAAACTCAGAAATGGGACACCTTTAACTCACTCAAGGCTCAAGCATACATAAGTAGAAAGCTTGTGTGAAGGATTCAAGAAGAAAGGTGACTTCTTGAAGGTTGAAAGTAGAGGGAGAAGGGAGGCAAGGTGGCTGACCACAACCACCAGAAATCTCTCACGTAGGAGGCTCAACAAAAACCTAGGATCATGTGCCATTAAGCTTATATAGGCGGTTTAAGTGTAATCACACTGTATTAACGAAAATAGCTACGCTTAGTATTTTAATTCCAAACTTAGGATTCTGAACGTACTCAATTTACAAGATTTGTCATATTTTTATTTTATTTTTCGCAGCACCTTCCCGGTACGCGCTTTTCCATAGCCAGTATCAGTTCTGGCACCAGTTCTCATTATTTTGACCTGAAACTTGTTTTACTAGTCCTATATAATATTCTAGGAATATTCATGCACTTATTATAATTTTCCGGGATACTTCATCGGTACACATTTATACCGAGTAGCAGAACCGGTATCTGCACTTTTCGTCAGAAAAGCGACTTTCAGCATTATTACTCACTTAATATAATTATTAAAGCCTCACAATAATTATTAGGGTCAATGATGGAATTATTTCCTAATTTCTATTAATTAATTAACTAACTTCCTTAATTAACGATGCGGGTTCTTACAAAAAACAAGGACAGAGATCAACGAGGGCTAAAGAAAGGAGCCGACTCTCATGACAAGAGGTCGGACGAAAGATATCCGAGGACTAGATTCGACAACTACACACCATTGAATATGTCCTGATCTCGAATATGGAAGGAAGTGGCTCAAATCGAGATGCACAACGTCGAAAGACCTCGACCCCTTAAAAGCAAGGGTGGCTTGGACAGAAACAAGTATTGTGCTTTTCACGATCAGAATGGCCACACAACGCATGATTGCTGGGATCTCCAAGATGCCATTGAGAAGCACATTAGAGAAGGAAAGCTGAAGCAATACATCATCCGAACTCAGGGCAAGAAAAATGGCAAGCAAAGGCAAAGAAACCGGAGCAGGAGCCATAGCCCGAAGGGGGAGGAGAGGAAAGATCAAGAACAAGACCGCCCTCCTAAGGGCAAGAAGGTCAAAGATAAAGAGGAGGAGTTCCAAGAGGCTGAATTTGAGTGCAATGTGATAAATGGAGCCTTGGGTGGTGGAGGAGACACTGCAAATTCTAGAAGAAAATACCTAAAGGAGGTCATGACCGTTAGAGACAGACCGACCTTCAAAGAAAGAGCCAAGAATCCTGCTCCCCCGAGGCTGTTCTTTACTGAAGAGGACCTAGAAATGGTCATACCCGGACATACTGATGGTTTGGTAATTACCGGGGTGCTAGTTAACTGGTGTGTTAAAAGGATCTTCCTCGATCACGGAAGCTCGCCCGACATTCTCTTTTCGGATGCTTTCCAGAAGATAAACTTAGATGAGCGAGATCTGAAGCCGTGCATCACCGAGCTGATTGGCTTTAATGGAGAACCATCTCCCCCAAAGGGCAACATAGACTTGAAGAAGACTTTGGGAACTAAGGAAGCATTTCGAGCTGACAGAGTTCGAATTGTAGTAGTAATGAACCATCCTCCTACAATGTGATTATTTGTCGGCCTACGTTCCATGAGTGGGACATGTTGGTCTCCACCAAGCATCAAGCACTGAAGATGGTGGGACCAAAAAATGAGGTCATCACCATAAGAGGAGATCAGAGGGAATCTAGAAAATGCTATTATGAGACGTTAAGGATCATCCATGGAGGGCCATCATCTCCTCATAGAATTAAAAATGGAGGTAAAGCCTCCATCAGAGACCAAACGGTATACCCATAAGTGAATTTGATCGAGTTAGACATTAGGGAAGAGCTCCAAGAACCTCGTCCAGAACCCCAAGGAGAGCTGGAAGATGTCAGTATTGGGGAGAACGACAAACGTCATACCAAGGTTGGGAAAGGCTTGGAGGCCGAGGTTAAAAAGACACTAATCTCATTTCTTGGATGGTGTCGGAGATTCCGGGGATAGACCCAACATTTTGTTGTCACAAACTTTCCATGTACCCCGGCTCAAAACCAGTCTCCCAAAAGAAGAGGAAAATGGGTGCTGACCGACGTCGGGCTTTAAACGAGCATGTGGACGAGCTGTTAGCAGCTGGCTTCATCAGAGAAATACAATACACCACATGGCTCTCCAACGTTGTGATGGTGAAGAAGCCCAGTGGTAAGTGGAGAATTTGTGTAGACTACACCGACCTTAATAAGGTCTTCCCAAAGGATTCGCATCCCATGCCTAGCATAGATTAGCTAGTTGATAATTCATCAGAATTTTAGCTACTTTCTTTCATGGATGCGTACTCCAGGTATAACCAAATCCCACTACATCCAGATGATCACGAGAAGAGTGCATTCAACTCGGAGAAGGGAAACTTCTGTTACAATGTCATGCCATTCGGCCTCAAGAATTCCAGGGCGACCTATCAGAGGATGATGAACCTTGTTTTTCATAATCAAATTGGAAGAAATTTGGAGGTGTACATTGACGACATGATCGTCAAATCCGCGCACATAGCTACACATGTAGCTGACCTAAAGGAGACCTTCGAGCAATTGAGAGCTCAGAGAATCATATTGAACCCAGTAAAGTGCGCTTTCGGGGTACCTACTGGGAAGTTCTTGGGCTTCATGCTCACCAATAGGGGAATTGAAGATAACCTGGATAAATTCAAGGTCGTCTTGGAAATGAAAGAACCAGAAAACAAAGAAGAAATACAGCAGCTCACAGGTCGTCTGGCGGCCTTAACAAGGTTTCTGTCAAGATCGGCAGAAAAATCCCTACCTTTCTTCAAGCTCCTAAAAAAGGAGGCAGAATTTGGATGGGGGGAAGACTGTCAAAGAGCACTTGAAAAGATAAAAAAATGTCTAGCTACCCCACCTGTATTGTCAAAACCAGAGCCCGGGGAGACGCTGATCTTGTATCTCTCTGTGGGAGAAGAAGCCATTAGTGCCGCCCTAATAAGGGAGACGGACAAAGGACAACAACCAGTGTATTTTGTAGGGTTAACACCGCAAGGACCTGAGCTCAGATACCATAAGCTTGAAAAGGTGGCCTTCGCCCTACTTATCAGTTATCACGGCAAGAAGGCTCTGACCTTACTTTCAAGGGCATCAAGTGGTCGTAAGAGCCAACCAGCCTATCAGGCAAGTGCTACATAAGCCGAATTTAGCTGGAAGGATGATCAACTGGGCCGTCGAACTCTCAGAGTTTGACATATCGTATGAACCTCGACAAGCGATCAAGTCTCAGGCACTGGCCAACTTCGTGTTAGAACTCACCTTCTTTAAAGGAAAAGAGAAAGAGAGTGAGGACCTCTGGACAATATATGTCGACGGATCCTCAAACTCTAAGGAAAGCGGAGCCGGAGTGACAATAGAGAGCCCGGATGGAGTGTCCATTGAACACTCACTCCACCTTGCATTTTCGACCTCAAATAACCAGGCTGAATATGAGACTTTCATCGTGGGGATCGTACAGGCAAAAGAGCACAGAGCAAGAAGGATAAAAATTCTCGGTGACTAGCAGTTGGTAACCTCGCAAGTCGAAGGAAGGTATCCAGCCAAGGGGCCCCTCATGATGAAATATCTCCAACAAGTTAAGGAACTATTGGCCGAGTTCGAAAAGGTGGCGATCCAGTACATACCCATAAATGAGCATAGTAGGGCAGAGATCCTGTCAAAACTCGCCAACTCGAAGGGAGCAGAAAATCATCAAACGGTGATACAACAAAGCATCACCGAACCGACTTGCGTGATGGTCATAACTGAGAATGAGGACTAGAGAAGGCCAATAGTAGCCTACCTCGAGAAGGGAACTCTTCCTGATGAGGTCCAGGAAGCCAGAAAATTCGTAAGGAACTCGGCTTGTTACACCATAGTAGAAAGGCAGCTCTACAAAAAGGGTTTCTATACACCGATGCTTAAATGCCTAAACCAAAATGAGGCTGAATACGCCTTTGCCGAGATCCATTAAGGCATTAGTGGGCATCACATGAGAGGAAAAACTCTAGCCAGGAAGGCACTCAGGGCAGGATATTATTGGCGTACTATGAAAGTGGATACGAAAGAGTATGTCAAGAGATGCGAACAATGTCAAAAGGATGCACTCATCATTCATGCACCTCCCGAGGAGCTGCAAACCATCACAGCACCTTAACCGTTCTACAAATGAGGGATGGACCTACTAGGACCCTTTACCGTGGTCGAAGGACAACTCAAATGGCTGATAGTAGCAGTGGACTACTTCACCAAATGGATTGAGGCTGAACCACTCACCACCATAACCTGGGCCAGGATTAAAAGATTCTTTGAAAGAAACCTGATAAGCCGATTTGGAATTCCAGCCGAGATCATCACAGACAACGGAACACAATTCGCTGATAAGAAGTTCTAAGAGTTAATGGCTGACTTCAAGATCAAACATCGGTTCGCATCGATGGAGCACCCTCATACAAATGGACAAGCTGAGTCAGCCAATAAGGTGATCATCAACGGCCTCAAGAAAAGGCTATTTGATGCTAAAGGGAATTGGGTACAGTAGTTACACCTTGTCCTATGGGGATATAGAACCAATGCCCAATCCGCCACGGAGGAAACTCCCTTCAAGCTGACATATGGATGTGAGGCTATGATCCCAGTTGAGATCGAAGAGCCGTCTTGGAGAAGAGTGCAAAGGTTGCAAGGAACCGAAGAAGAGAATAATGAGGCATTGGCCGTAGAGCTCGACCTATTGGATGAAAGTAGGGAGAATGCCAGATATAGAAATATGATTACCAAACGCCTGATGATGACAAGGATCAACAAGAAGGTCAGACCTCAGTCGTTCCAGAACAGTGATTTGGTATTAAGGAGAGTAGGCATCGGCAACAAAAATGCCAAAGATGGGAAGCTCGACGCAAATTGGGAAGGCCCTTACAGAGTTAAGGAAAATCTGAGAAGAGGAGCCTACACATTGGAAACCATTTCTAAGAAGCCCGTCAAAAGAACTTGGAACGCAGACAAGCTCAAGGCTTACTACAGCTAGGACCGAAGTCTGACTTCCAAGAAATTGTGAATAGATTTTAATTCTATGCAAATAAGATGAACTTCTAAGCTCAGTCACTAGATAGATTTTATTTCTACGAAAATAAGACGAGCTCCGAAACTCAGTCAGTAGGTAGATTTATTTCTAAGCAAATAAGACGAGCTATTAAGCCCAGTCATGTAAATAGATTTCAGTTAAATGCAAATAATACGAGCTTTGACCTTAAATTTTCACGCATATCAATTTCTATCCAAATAATGCAAGCCTCTGAACTTAATGATCTAAAAGGAATATTTTTTGTTGACAAACAAAGCTTATCCTAGATCGATTAAAATGAAGTCGTAACTCGGCACAAATATAAGCCAGTATGATAAAACAAGATTGGAATTGAACCCTAAGACAAATTAAACGGGTAGTAAATCAAAGCAACGATCTCGACGATATAAATGACAGTAAATTGCAAGTTAAAAAGCTAAATTAAAGCGGAGAAAATGTTCATACAAATTTAAAAGGGGGGGCACACCCCCAAAATACAAGTACATCGTTAAAGTCGGCATTCTGACCTCTTCACTCAGCTTTGGTTTCCTCCTCCTCATTGGACTCGGAAGCTGGAGTTCCAGGAACGATGGAGCCGTCCTTCACGTCATATGAAACATCCATCCCGTCAATAATGAGGCCAGGGTTTAGAACCTGGGCTTGAGCAATAGCATAGGTAAAGGCCCCAGTAGCAACATTCATGATCACAGCTCGAGCCTCATCAAAGTCGGCTTGCAATTTTTGGATATGAGCATCCTTGTTAGCCAAAGATTTAGAGAGGGCATCCTTCTCTGCCTTCAAGTCATCCGCTCCAGCCTTGACCAATTTTGAAGCTTTCTTCACTTCAGCCAGCTCTGAAGATAGTTCCTGAACCTTCATCTCCAACTCAGATTTAGATTTACCGAGCTCATCATGCTTCCCCAAAAGCTCATCCACCTTAATAATGAGAGACGATTTGGAAGCAGCGGAATGATCGAGCCTTTGATGAAGATCCTTGAAGGATTGGAGCAAAGAAGTCACCTTCAAAGCATTTTCTTCTAGCCGAGCTATCATAGACCTCAGGTCGGAAGTCAGGGTCGAACCGCCCATAAGTTGCTGAGGGGGCTTCAAAGCAGCTCTAAGTCGATCTGAAACTCTGACCTTCTACAGCTCCCCAGGTTCCAGGACGATCATGTCCCCTTGAGGAACATTGAGAGGAAGTGGAAGTGGAGATGACGGAGGAGTAAAATGAGGATCAGAAACCTCGGTCACAATCACCTCCTCGCCCACCGAACTGCAGCCGGACTCGACGTCGAGTCGCTGTTTCTTCGATATCTCAACCTCGAAGGAAGGGACTTTTTGGCCTTTCCCTTAGAAGTCTTATTGGGCTTTGGTAGGAATTTCTTATAGTCGAAGCTCGTCATACTAACTACAAAAGAGCCAAAGATCAGAATACAAGTTATAAGATATACCAAAAATAAATCGTTAAGAGAAATCACATATCGAGCTCGCAAA